TCCCTGGACTTCCTCTTTTCCTCTCGGGAATGTATAGATGGGGTCAAAATATCACCAGTACTTCATATAACTTTTTTTCCTAAAATCCTTCGTTACCAAGTAACGGGCCCTCGAAGTTACAAAATGAAAAATGTTTTTCTTTGATAACTTTTCAAGTGAATATTCAAAATCATCCAAATTTTGGTAATTGACTAAACAAATGAATTCCTTCGATGAGCTTTCATGCAGGAGTCAGTTGTTTTGCTACAAAGTCAGGAACGGACTACCCCCGATGGTCCACACCCCAAAACTTTGAAATGGCAGATATTTTTCACAATTTTTGGACAATTTTATGAATAAAAGTACTCGTGTGGAAAGTCGATCGGAGCAACGAGTCTTGATAAAAATGTAGTTTCACTCGACGACATCAAACCCGCTCGTCCACCATTATTTGAAATGAATAATTATCAAAGCAGAAATAATAATGATAACGTTAATTCAACAACATTTATCCTGAGATGTCTACCATTATTCGAAAATATTAGTTATTAAGGAAAATGGAAGTGATAGGTAAAATGTTCATAACGAATTTTTATAATGCAAACACGTTTAACTAACGAAACTCAAGAGCCTCAAGAGCAAACAGAAATGAAAAATCCGCTACAGAAACTGCTCGATATGACCACCTTCTCTCTCTATACATTTTCTTAGTCTGCGAAGACACCCTCTCTGTATTTGAAATAGCATTCCAGGGTCGTTTCGTATGGCTTCACAATGTAATGTTATTCTATTCAACAATGCATCTCTTGTGTGAATAGGTGTAGCGTAAACAAGGCTTTTTAGATGCCCCCACAGAAATAAATCCAATGGATTTGAATCCGGAGACCGCGATGGCCATGAATATGGCCCACCTCTACCAATCCATCTATTGTGGAAAATATGGTTCAGATGGTCACGCACAATCAAACTAAAATGAGGAGGAGCGCCATCATGCATAAACCACATATCTCTTCGGGTTTGCAATGGAACATGTTCCAAAAGTCCATTCAAATCGTTCTGAATGAACTCCAAATAACGTTCTCCATTCAATCGGTCCTGTAGAACGAATGGTCCTATAAGATGGTTTCCTATGATACCAGCCCAAACATTCACGTTGAATTTCGACTTTCGTCTGTAAGCGAAGAATCCAATAAAATTGTTCAATGGGGCAAGTGCGGTCCTGTGCGTTAATTAGAAATTTTGATGATATTTTAATTACCGAAAACCGAGTCACAACCAGAATCCAGACCTACGTTTTTCAATGATTCCTTTATGTCTTTTCTTCTTTCTGTTGTCGGTGCTTTGATCTAGAAGCTGTATTAGCTGTTTTGCATTTAGCGTACTTTTTCTTGTAGACTTTGATAGGTTTTAACAATACTCTGTCTGGTGTACCCCTTTTTTTGGGCCTTTATAATAAGCCAGTGATTAATCTTACACTGTTTCTCCCGTATTTAGTCAATATTCCTTCTGGTTAATAATTGATATTGTCATCCAGATCGCACTTACAAAACGTTCAATAGATTTTGAACAGATTTTGACTAGAATCTGGAGACATTACACGCGATAAACTCAATCTAATCGAATTTCAGTGTTAGATTAGGAATCACACGTTAAAAGGTAAGACTTCGGTAATCCTTAGCTAGCACAAGTTTCGACTTCTGAGGGTTGTCGTTCGTAGGGGTGCGACAGCTGGTTAACGGAAAAACAGATTTTAAACAGATTTTTTTTCAGATTTTTCAGATTTTTCAAAAATATTCCCATTTCCTTCGGACTATAATATATTCCATCAGAACATTTTATTATCATTTATTTAATGCCTCACAATAACATGTCTCATAACAATTTATGCCCGAGTGTATCGAATAGCTTGTCACTATCAGTTCGTAAAAGCCTTAGCAACTTCTTTTTATGGATTTTCAAACGACAATGCAAGCTGTCAATTATGATTTGTCTGCATAGTTTTTCATTTTTGAGAGACTGTTTCAGCTTTCTCACATACATTAATTGAGATAATTGGACCGAGAAATGATAGTTTTGAAAGAAATGGTATTTGAACAAATAAGAGTCAAAGCAATTGGTAGTTAAATATTAATATGCTGAAAGTTGATATTGGAGACACAAAATAATGAACCATAATTATCAGAATCAAATGGGTATGGGATAAAAAAAGAGAAACTATTAGAGGATAATGATATTTTTGCAAGTACCGCCTCCCATTCACTATCTTCATTCGAGATGATTCTGGAACAAATGGTGGAAGAAAATATTGATTGTGCTGAATTTAAAAAACAGTTTAGCATCATACTGTGGAAAACACTGTATGAAAGAATTCAGCAAGAGTAATACCTCAGAAGTTAACGTAGATAAAACTATTGAAGAAACAAAATGCAAAAAAAATGTAAAAAAGTATTTTTTTGTCAGATTAGGCGAATTCCTCTAGATATTCGTCAGATTATGAGACAGCATGTCTAAAACATGAAGATGAACCATATATATCTTAATCTGACGCGCTTGACTATTTCATAATTGCGATTATTTTGCACATTATAATAATGGCCGCGAGTTTGCGTCAGATTGAAATCGTCAGATTATTGAATGAGAGCTTTTTTTGTTGCACTTAACACCCCTTTAGAAAATCTGACGCGCTCGATTAATTTTTTTTTCACTTTCAACCTGTACGTACAACCACCCGCATCATGCAAACGATCAGATGAACATACGAAAATTATTAAAAATACGTAGGACATTGATGCTATCAATATCTGGCGCGCTCGAGTATGCCATTGCATATTTAAAAATTTATAGCCCACCGATGAAAAGGTATATATTATATGACTTTTTTTTCTTCTTATCATCTAAGCTTTGCAACCTAATATGTCTCTATGACAAAAGTATTGCCAAGAAACCACTCCTGTTACAATGCCTCATAAAAAATCGCGGCTATATTTCACATTTTTTATTCAACTAACGCCAATGCTCCGATAATATTTTGATTTATATCTGAATAAGTAAATGGGTTCGGTATGAAATTATTGCACAATGTTAATTTTTGTTTATGGTGTTCATAGTTATTAGTGGACTTTCACTATTTGCACACAATGTATGATTGATTTTCGAATTATTGTTTATATTGTTGCCTAACAAAGAATTGTGTAAGGAACCGCCAAACTTTCGAGACAATAAGTAGACCAGGAAAGGTTAGGTTTGCAGGGTCATATACAAAATTATAGAGAAGTGAGTCTCAAATACTCTTAGATGATCTTACCACGTTCGATCGAACCATATCGAGTGGTCCAACGAAAAGTATGCACCTTGCTTTTCTCCTTTTTTTGTAACTTAACGCAAAAATGCTCGGACAGGTCAATTTTGCTTTTATCAAATTCAAGTCGTCACCTTGAAGTTGGAGATTGACATCATTAAACGCGCGTTAAGCATAAACTAGTTTGTGTTGAAGCAAAAACACATTTTTGAATTAGCCATCGCCACCCCAAACCGCTTTAACGTCTCCAATCTTCTCTGTGCCCTTTACTGCCCCCCTATAGGCCTCCAGCGCCGACAATGGGGCGTTGTCGCCCACTTTGAGAAAACTAGTCTACAGTGATGACATTAACATACAATAAGAAAAGTAACGGTCCAAGAGCTGAACCCTGTGGCATAACATACTCCATGTTTCCTCCACTAGAACCAAAGCCACAGTTAACAATTTGTTTGCGATGTTTTGAATATGTTTTCAACCATTTCAAACGTTTATTTCGAAAAAACTCGCTACGGCTCTGCCCACATGGTCGAGTGCCTGCATCCTACATCTCGCTAATTATGAAAACAAACACGGCTCTCGTTCTCAGCTAATCTCGACGACTTAGTGTAGTGATGGAAACGATGGATTATCGGCTAAAAGCGAGAGGAAAGTGAACGCGACTTTGTTGAAGGTATCGCGAAGAGTTACGAAATCATATGATTCAATCCAAGAGGAATGAACAGGGCTCTGAGGCCATTTTGAAATAGATTTCGTGTTTGAGGCTTGCCGTTTACTTTCAAGACCATACATTCTGTAATAAAATTTGTTTAATCTATATTTTCTGTTGGGAATTATAACAAAGGAACAACAACACCAAAACCTGATATTTGAAAAAAAATTCGGATAACATTATAAGAAAAAACTCACATTTCTTTCATAAATTACGATTTTTATGTCGCGGAATAAGTTTGATATACTTACGTCATCGATGACATCGTAATGACATTCATTCATTACTTGAATAAATCCCAGCCAAAAGGAATCTTGTTTAATCCTATGAACTAATTTGAAAGGGTTATATTTTTAGGATTGACTAGTTTTTAGGAAAGAAAGAAAAAATGTAGGAATCTCCCAAAGATTTTTTTGTATCAAGATGGAGTAGGTAGGTAGGTAAGTCTAAAGTGAGTGGGTCTATTCGACCCTCCACCGCAACCCGCAAGGTTTTATTGTGGAGAGGTATCATTGGAAAGATAATTTTGTGCCCTTTCAAATGATATATCACTCGACCCCACTTTCCATTTAAAATTTTAGGGTTGTTACTCACCCTCGCTAGAGGGTTGAAGGCATAGGTAGAAAAATACATCTTAAATGTGTCCCACTCAAAGGCAAGATTGACCTGTCCGAGCATTTTTGCATTGAGTTACAAAAAAAGGAGAAAAGCAAGGTGCATACTTTTCGTTGGACCACTCTGTATAAATGTCTTTCATTTCTTCTGCATCAATTTTTTCATTAGGTACGATAACTGGAACGATAACTGAATTATTGTTTGTTGATATTTCTTGAAATAATCAACTTAGCAGCCAAAATCAAACAAGAATATTATACTGCACAGTTTATTAGATTAATCAATATAAATTTCACAAGTCTGAAAACGAAAATTTCGAGAGCTGTTTTGTTTTTTGCGCCATTCTTATGTGTTTGGGTAACACTTTTTTCTGAATACTAAAACCTAATTTTTTTCCAGGTCGATCTTTCACGTGCTCAACTCCTATGTAAGTATAACCTGTTTTTCTCCTTCAAGAATCTTTTCAACAAATATCCTCAGTTTTTCATTGTTCGCGTCATAACAAATAATCTGTAATTGCACTCTACAGTGTCCCACATTGTTAAATAGTTTTACAAGCAGTTAATAATTCAATGCTGTTCTTACTATGTAAATAATTGCTATTGAGAGGCGCATAAAAACGTGCAAATCAGTTTATATAATCATCATCATCATCTTTATATTGAGCCGTGACTAAAGTACTGTAGTAATAAACTATATTGACGATGTAATCAAGCTTCAATAATAATGTTTCTTTTTTCATGAATGATTTATTTTACGGGGAAATTCTACAAGATATGACAGTAAATTGTACTTGATAATTTATTTTGCTATTGGTATTTATTACCTGTTAACCAATTCTGTGAATTATTCAAGAAACACTCCATTATAATATGTTCACTACACTACACGCCTGAAGAAGCTACTGTATAGCCAAACACGTGTTGCGGTTTTGTAAACTTTGTAGTGAAAATCTCTCAATAAAGTGTTTGGACTCGCTTGCCAATAGTTTAGTTTTCAAAAACACAAACAAAAAACTAGTTTCAGTTTGGAAAACAAACTCGAAACTCAAAATCCACGAAACAGACAAAAATTTGTTTGAGTCGTGTGTTCTGTTGTGAGATGAGTGTAAATCAGCGTTTCTGGTGAAAGTTTGGTAATTTTCTTTGATCTACATTATAAGCTCTATAATATATAAACTTGGTAGAGTTGAACATGTTAGCTCGCACAAGTTTGGACTTCTGAGGGTTGTCATTCGTAAAGGTACGATAGCTGTTTAATGGAAAAAACATATTTTGTTAAATGTTTTCTTTATTAAAAACTGGCCTACATCATGATGCTAGCATAGCTCGAAAAATTCGTTTCTAAAAACTCTGTTGGTATGTTCTAATGAGCCCCAAAATATCAGGTAATATTGAAGGGTAGACTGCAATGCCAGTAGCTTAAGTATAGTGAGTGACAACGTGTCTCTTATATTTTGTATTATACTACAAATAGAAATTTATTTGGTGGTTACTTTGTTCATGTGCGATTTTCAAGTGAACTTTGGATCTAGCATCAACCCCAGGAATTTCATTTTATCAGCGACGTCAATACATAAATGAGGATTGGAATCATGGCATTTTTTTTTGTAGAAGCTATATATATCACGTTTTTGTTGATCTCAGTGTTATTTTTTGATTCGATCGGGAATATTACAAGTTCTGTTAATATCATTGATGAAAATAAAGGTAGGGGACAAAGTACCTAACTCTGAGGTACTCCTGCAGTGGTTTCCTTTGGATCTAACCGTTTATCATTCGGAACAATGGTCTGAGATACGACAAATATAATTCTACCCAATACCCATTTTCATCAGTAATAGTTTGTGATCTACTAAGTCAACTGAGGTCATGTATATTCCAAGGTACTTTCTCATTTTACTAATGTCAGTTCTGTGTTACAATTACAACGCCATGAATTGCTTTCTCACATTGCACACCTGGGTTAGTACTTCCTCCGCAAACTTAGTTACAGTACTTACCGTACTTACACACGTTTCAATTGGTACTCTTTTTTTAACGATTCAACTGGTACGCTACATGCAGGATACGATGTACCTCATGGCCAGTGTTGCCAATAAAGTTCGAACTACTCAAAATATTCGCGTTTTCAGTATCTTGGCGCATTTGTTATGCTTTCCGATTTTTGTGGACTCTCTGCATTTTTTACAACCTTTCGCTTAGTCTCAGTCTATCAATTTTTACCTCAGATTGCCTCTGGCTCATTAACATTTAGTGTTGGAAAATACGGTCCAAACAGATCTTCTATACTATATATTTTTCATGACAAAATAGCTTTCATACTTATGTTAGAAGAGTGACAATGACAGTAGTCCGGACAGAATAGACGACAAAAAGGGTTGAGCTTACAAAAATTACCAACATGTTGATTTTTTTTATAGACCTCAAATACGTCACTATAAATGAAATCGCGAAAGTCCCTATATATACCACTTGTGCGTTGTTTTTATTTGATGTCAGATGTCACAAACAGATCTTCTATACTATATATTTTTCATGAAAAATGGCTTTTCGACCCAAAATAGACGAAAAAAAGGGTTGAGCTTACAAAAATTTCCAACAAGTGGGTTAGCTGGCAAAAGTGACAAATGCTGAAAATTTGAAACGTTTCTCGGCGAGATAGGAGAGTATATGCTCTGTTACCAGAACCTGAAATTTACTTGTGAAGAATAATCCACTCCAGGGTGTACAGATCAGGGTCTATGTCCCTCAATCTAGTGAGGACACGATCAAAGATCAGTCTATGACCACCTTCATCGAGGTGAGCAATACAGATGTCTGGCTTTAGAAGTAGGTCTCTTGTGACGAAACTCGCATGTGACAAAAGGTACACTCTTCTTGGAATTTCGTTTATTGATCTAATATTTAGGTTTTGGAAGTTCAAGATGCAAGATGACTGCAGAAACTTCCCATATGAGGACATCTGTCAGTCACTTCCATCTTGTGATGCACTGTTTGGAACGTTTGGTGTAGTAATTAATATTACTGGAGTTCTATCTCGACACCAAACCGTTATTTTTAACCCCTCGACACGTGTTTCAATCACCAAGTGATCAGCTTCGAAAGGAACAATAATCTTCCTCTTGAAGATGATCACTTTGGATCTAGATGAACACTTGGTGTTCAAGAGGAAGATTAATCTTCTTCTTAAAGATGGTCGCTTGGTGAGTGAAACACGTGTCGAGGTGTTAAAAACAACGGTTTGGTGTTGGGTTGATATTCAGTTCCATCTGACAATACTTTGGATTCATTTCTGCAAAGCTTTTTCGCCTTTGGTTTGGGTGAATTGTCGTTTGAGAGTGAGCGTTTCCACATCTGCTTGGGGAAAGTTTAATTTCTTTCCTGTTACAGGGTCGGTTTCTGCTGCTCAAGAGTTTCGTACAAAGTATATCCTGCTCTTTACGAGGCCAAAAAAGCATCATGACCGCAGGATCAGAACTGAAAAGCTTTTGTTAAGATTTCACAGGGAGTCCAGTTAGGGCAACAAGCCGTAACAGTTAGGATTAGGCTTTATTCAACGTAAATCTCTTTTAATGACTCTTTGGTTACTTTAGGATTCATAAAGGATCTCTCAAGGTAGCTAGGAAAAGGAGATCCATCACGGCAGACTCCTCAAGGTTTTCTGCGACGAGGGGGCACTCGATATCTAGAAGGTCCATCACATAACTCGTAGGTTTCCTCCACTAGTGATATATGGCCTTTGATGTCTACCGCAGAAGCAGACGAAATGTCATATCTGATCAAACGTGATAATTTGATATATTCGTTAATTTTCGATGAATGAATTTCGTAAATTAGGCACCGAAGTCTTTTCTAAGGTTATGATTCAAGTATGCGTCCGTTTTCCATTAGTTCGTTTCGCTCTTTTGCGGATTTTTGAGATCAACCTGTCCTTGTGTTGTGTTGGCAACACTGCTCACGGTTTAGTACCGTTAGAACTCTGTCGCTGCTATTAGTTTCGATAGTGGTACCCATTAGAGTCCAAACAAACTTTTTCTTTTCTGTTTACTTTAATGTTCCCAGAAATCAATTATATCGGGGATATTATAGGCGTGGGGTTTGGATTTATGGCTTTAGATTTTGTTTAGGTTATTTTGTTTATTTACGAGCAGGGTGATCGATGTGTTCCTCAATGTGGGCGCTGGACAGGTAACAGGGCTGATTCAACTCGGATTTCTAAGAAGAATCTGACAGAAAATATTGTTTTTGGTTTATACAAATTATGGCCTAGCTGGAAGGAATATTTACTATGAGAAGTTGTCACGCGCAAAATGATATATTTTGAATATTTCACAGACTTGCGTACCTCAGAAGAATATTTTCGTAGATCAGATGATCTGATAGGATGAATTTTTCATGTTTTGTGGGGTAAAACTGGATTCCAAATCTGAACAAAATGATTCTTCTTTTGTTGGCTTTGAATTATTGTTGCCACCCAATCCGGTTTGTACAAATAAGTACAAATTTTACGATATCGAACTTTATGAGCTTGGCTTACGTCAAACTGTAGGAAATTCAACTTGCACACGTTTTCTGCACCAGTTGGTGTTTATCTAATATGTTTATATAGAGGATGGCCCAAACCATGTCTTTAATTAATTTATTTATTTATTTACGGACCTGCCATTTTACAATAAACATATAAATAGTGTGAGAGAAAAAAACAATTGAACAATAATATAGAATACTGAGAATACAAAATATCAATTACTTATTAATAATAATAATCACCAGTTTCTTCATAGTAGGTCTATAGGGTTAACCTGATTATGGTAAGAATATAGGTAAGTATTAATCAAATGAATCAATAGAGATGCTATTTTTTTGCTAGCCTAAACATCCTAGTAATGGATTCATATCATCATTTATAACTTTAGGAAAATTGATATAAATCAATTTCAGCTCGGCGGTGCTCTAAAGTAGATAAATTCAAAAGTACTCATAATTAATCGCACTTCTGATATTAAAGCTTGGATGCACATGATCTCAGAAAAGTATTTTGTACTTTCTCAGTCTGATATAGAGGACTCAATATCACGCAATTACTTTCCAAAACCGAGCACACAAAAAAAAAAAAATTCAAATGTAATAATAGAGAATTCGTCTATGGATCGTTGAACAATTACCATTAATTTGTAAGTGATCCATATGTATGTGATCCAATTTTTCGTTTTTTGAGTTGCTTTTAATTTTCAATGTTTTTTGTAAATTTTTTTGTCAGATCTGTTAAAATTTTTCTCAGTGTTTTTCAGGAAATTTTTGTTGTAACATAATCCCACTTTTTCTCAGAACTTATGTGTGTCATGTGAAAATAAGACTTTCTGATGAGGTTGATGTAAAACACCATTTTGTGACATTAGGAAAACGTTTATTCATGTTAATAAAA